TTGTGTCAGGATGCCATTAAGCATCTCCTGCCATACAGGACTGTAACTCTCAGCAGTGTGCAGGAAAGAGTGAATGGGTCGATAACAGTGGAATTTCCGAACTCCAGTTGGGTGATCAACAGGACACATCTTGCTATTCTGGCACCACCTCAACTTGCCAGTGAGTACATAAACTGAAAGGGATATTTTCCCATGGGTATGGAAGCATCGGGGATCCCAAGGGTTGCTTCACTGACACCAGTGTGGGCTGGTTGAGGAAGGTGCATGACGCTTGACCCTGGCTCATGAAACCATACACTGCTCACCTTGACAGCACCAAAGGAAAAGTTCAATTTCTGGCCCAGCAGGTGCAGGATGACTGTTGAATGTGTTTTTGGTAGACAGAAGCGTGCTGGTGCTGATGCTGTTTACTCACTAGATTGGATCTTAGTGAGGTAAATTTTCCCATTGTGATAGCTGCATGTTGTGTACTGCATCATGTCTGTGAGGCAAAGTGGGAAAGGCTACCGGCAGGGTGAAAAGGCAAAGTGGACCAGCTTTCTGTGGAATTTGAACAGGTGTACATAAGGGATATTAGAAGAGCCAATCATGGAGCTATAAGCAGAGGGAGCACCTGGCATCGATCACTGTCGGAAGACAGGATACTGGGCTAGATGGACCACTGGTCTGATCCAGTCTGGCCGTTCTTATGTAGCTTTAAAAGAACATTTAAGTTGTCAGCCACAGTAGTGTTGTGTGATGCTTTCATGAACTAGGGTCTCTTCATGTGTACAGAGCTTAAACGGTGTGTTATTGACTCCCAATGTGAATTCTGTAATGTGGCAGTTATGCTTGGCGTAGACTAATAAATATTCACTTGGGTTTCCAAAAAGAGAACTTTATTGCACTCAAAAAACAGGAAATAATGTTCAAATGAAAATATGCTTCTTTCTTTCTCTTCCTGATCAGGGAACGGTTCAGCAGGCATGGAGCGGGGTCACCATATGAAAGGCTTCCGAGTAAAACAGACGGATACAGCATTCGCTTTAGAGTCATAGTTACATTATTCCCTTAAAGACCTTTGATAAGAAATGAAAATTGTCATATTAGCTTTGAAGCACCTTGTTTACAGCATCGCTCTGCACCTCAAGCCATAGTGAGAATGGAATAGTGGCAGGGGAACGGGGAACTGTTGCAGGTTTAGATACTGGGCATCTTGTCTCTGGATATGGGAAAATCCAGTGAGTATTTCCACTATTTTCACAGGCAGTGGTGATTTTGGCTGATACTTCACTGAGTCCTGAGGGTGACGAAGGCACAGAGAATGTAGCTGCTATTGGTGTTCCAAAGCTAATAGCCTGTTTATAACAGTGGTGCTAGCGGAACATATCACAGAGTGGCGTGGGAATGTCATGGGGGAAGAAACAAGGCCACCATCCCTGAAATGTTCAGGAGAGGCTTGCAGAGTATCTCCATGAAAGTTCCTCAAGATTACTTGAGAGAACAAAAGGAACATTCCTGTTCAGATAAACAAAGTACTCTCTATGGGGAGAATTGTGTCCCTTCCTCATCTACCCAACCTAGCCAAAAAGAAGAAGTGGACTCCGCCTCTACTTCTTTCTTCTGACTCCATCCAAGCACAGGACAGTGATCTGATGTGGACTGTGTAATTCAGAGTGCCATACCAATTTTTTAAAATGCATTTTATAACATTATACAAGTAAAGGGATCACTCACAAGTCAATGCCTTTGTTCTCTAAATGTGTGGATAGGTTGGATGCCACTTTTAATAGGGAAGAAGGGTGGAGGGGAGGAGGGAAGAGAGGAGGTTCAGGGCAACAAAAAGGTAAAAAATACTTAAAAGGAAAAATGTATGTATGCTTACCCAAATGCCCATCCCCTTCATTAGCAGGCATATCAGCACTCACCTGGAAGGATTGACTTGACTCTGGCGAAGTCTGAAACAGCTCCTGACTCACTGCCTGGTTTGTGTCTCCTTCCCTTCAAAGCAGAGAAATTCCCTATGGACTCTTTTAGCAGTAAACATTGATTTTAAAATCTTCTTATGCTTTTGATTAGATTAGATTTTCTCACCCTTCATTCTGGTGTTCAGGTAGTCTCTTGGTGTGGTGAAAATTTCTTCTGGGTACCTTTTGGTCTTCAGGAAAGCTCTTTCTTCCTCAAGGCTACTTATAGTTAGAACTTTGGATGTTATGGTACCAAAACCCAAATTCTTGTCCATAAACAACTTTTAGTTAACAAAAATTCCCTCTTGGGAGAGTAGAATTATTGAACATTTCTAATATGTATCAGTTTGGCTCATCTGAGTCAGGATCAGGACACCTCTGCATTTAGGACCTCTGGAGTTTTAAAGGAAGATAGTTGGATGTCTTTGATAAAGTTGAAAGATGAACTGAATTGCTTCAATGAAGAGAACAATTAATGCGATTTGGCACGATTTTTTAACAGCATCTTTCCATTCAGTTGTAGTGTGGGCTGACACAGTTCCAAAATGGGACCAGTTTATTGATGTTGGCATCCCCAAAATCTTGGGAGGTAACCATCTCTGATTTACACATGATATATTTATTTCTTGGACAGGCCAAAGTGTCATTGCACATCTCCTAGTCATCCAGTAGATGGGGCACCTATGCTATAGAAAAACTCATCTTTTCAAGGATTTCAAGCCTTTTCTTGGAGCTCTTTAATTTCTTAATTAGCATTGTTAATTAAAATATATGCTAACAGAATTGTTTGAAAAGTCTTTTAGCTCCATTTTCTGTTACTTTTTCTTGAATCATTCAACAACAGTATGATAGTTTTCTCATATTTTCTATAACTGGGTGATAATCATATTTTCTGGTTTTACTTCATTTTGAAGTTTAAAGTTTATCCTTCTTTCTTCCAGAAGAAGATGTTCTGACACCTTCTGTCAAGTCACTTAAAGGACACTGGTTAGGTTTAACATGTTTATGTATATTCTTACTTTCTAACTAACTCTTGAATACAACAATTGAAACAATTGTAGAAAAATCTAGATGACTTTCTATCATTTAGGCTACTTACAAGTTTGGTCAACTGCAAAAAGTAATAGATCATTTAACTTTTGGAAACATCCTACTAGGGCAAGGCCCTAAGAGTTTATACTGCACCTGCCTGGGGAGCAAAAGAAGGGCTCCTGCCTGCCCCCTGAGTTTCAGACAAGAGATCTACTCGCAGCGCAGGCCCTAACCCCAGGCAGAGCTCTTAACTGCGTGTGGAATGTAGTGACTTCTGCAGAGGAGAGGTGCTGCTCCCAGCCTGTGTCCCAGAAGCGTTGGCCAGGCTCTCCTGGGATTGCCCTGGGACAGGGCTCATGGCTGGCACTCAGCTGGGGGGACGCTATTTCCAGCACAATGACAGGCCTGCAATTCATGTTTTCTACCCTTGGGCCCAAGGTTAGGAATGGCCCTAGCTGTTTTGCCAGCCAGGGCAGAAAATGTTTCCAATATTTTTGGCCCCACCTACTCCCGAGAAACCAAGCATGCACATAAGCACACACACACACACACAAAGAGCCAGCCAGTTGGACAGGAGCCAAAAAAAAAAAAACTAAGCTGAGCTGCAGAGCAGTTTTGCGCCCCCTGGAAGTTACTGCCCTGCTTGCCCACCTCTAGAACCAGCTGTTCCCGCCTGAGGTACCCGAATGTTCAGCTCTCTAGACGGCTCAGTAACAGCATAGCAGGGTTAAATGGATCTCCCACCTGCATCAGAGACCAGCAGAGGAGAAAGGCTCAGGAAATGGGTTGTAATTCAGCTCAGGTTGTTTATTGGTGTGTCATGTACAGGTAACACAGCCGGCACCTCTATGATCTAATCACACCTGGCAAGCTCATCTCTCACCAGGGATAGATTTGTCCATCCCAGCCCACGAAGGAACCATTCTCCTTCTCAGAGTAATTTAACAAACCAAACAAAATTCCCAAACAAAAGCCACACTTTAAGTCTAACCTTAACTCTGATTTCCTGGGTTTGTAATGTTAGTTTTGGGGATAATTACAACATCCCTGGAATGGTTTACCTGTATAGTATTGATAAGTATTCCAGTCTTCACTCCAGTTTAACGTAGTTGTGATCTGGGTATACAGATGAGTCTGTGGCAGAACCAAGACTGTAAGGCCCTCTGATGTGCTGTGGATGGAAGTGGCCAGTCACCCTAACCAAGAGATTGTAAATGTGTTATGACCCCTACCTTTTCTGTTCCCATTCTGGTTTTCACCCAGCCAGGGTGGATAGAAGTGCACAGAATCCCATAGTCTTTGTACTCCAAGGACTGGCACCTGGTGATCATGTTCAGAGCAGCCTGTGGGTGGGACACACAGTGAGCAGAGATAAGAGCACAGGACAGAGAGGCATCTTCCCTACAGGACATGATCCCCGATCCCACAGTACTGATATGCAAGGGTGGAGCGGGAGTCATCTGGGCTGACAGGGGAGGAGATAAATAGCACTGGGCGGAAGGTGAGGAGCTTCATACATAAGCAGTACTGCTGAACTAGAGGGCAGCTCCCACTTCACTCAGTGGACAAAGGCAGCTCAGCTGCTCGGGGTGACAGATAAGGTTGCCAACTCTCACTGAAGCTATTCTGGGAGATTCAACCCCCACCCCCCCAACATAACATGATGTCATTTTCTTAAAATATTCCATTAAAATCTCCTGGATTGCTTTCAATAGTCACTGGAAGATCGATGCTGATTCTGGGAGACTCCAGGCCCATCCTGGAGGGTTGGCAACTCCAGCAACAGATCAAAAGAAAACTGCCCACCTCACAATAAATCTTCAATCTTTGCTGCCTCTGCGTAAAGGGTACAAGGCTGTGAGATACCAAATCCCAGAAATCTCTGGTTTTATCCTTTTATAGGCTGGAATGCTGAGCCAAGCAGAAACCAGGAGACCCAATCCTGATAAAACGAAAGGAGGAAAATCCTTGGCCAAGCCCAGCTGTTGGCATTGGCTGTAGCTGCACCTTGAGATTCTACACAGCTGAGACTCATCCAGAGTTCAGTACACAAGGAACAGATGGCACCAGCAGCTGGTTCCAAACCCAGCTGAATTCCTGTGACCCTTGTAGCAATAACATTCCTGGCAGTCTCAGAGTGGGGAGAGGATCCCACTGAACACAACCCTCCTCACTGCCCAATGGCGACCAAAGCTGGATGAGTTTGGAAGCTGGTAATACGTCCGGATCTCTGATTTGTTGTTAAACAGTAATTCTGGCTAAAGGTTGACTATAAAGGGGGAGATGCAGGGACACATGCACTGTTTCCTTAAATCTGTAGCAAGAAGCCAGGCAGGAGGAGGCTAGGGAGGTTCTGGGGCAGGAGCTCTGCAGGGAAGCAGGGCGGGAGACTGAGGTTCTACAGAAGGAGCAGCAGAGGAGGCTAGTTACACTTGAAAGAAGTGAGAGGGGTCCCGTATTGTACCTTGCTGCAGCGGTAGCTGGGGTCTGGCAGCAGTTCCCATGATGTAACAAGTGCTATGGAAGCAGCCGTGCTGGACATGTTGACAATGGCGGCCTTCCTGCAGCTCAGCCCTGTCTGGGTACTCTGCTGGGCAGCTTTCTTCAGCAACGGCAGGAACTCCTGAGGGAGATACAGATGACTGTGTTACGACAGGGGTGACACCACTGTACCAGAGAAGGAGCCCATCAATTATGTTAATGTCAGGGAGAGGGAGGCTCTAAAGATGGAGTCTGTGATTCAGGCAGTTGGTGCATCCCATAGTTCTTGGGAATATGATGACTGGGAAACCCTTCTATGGGTCAGAGTGTGCTCTCCCTGAAGGGAGCCTGCTCTGCTCCTTCCGAGAGGTGAGCCCTGCTGCAGGCACTAGCCCTGCACAGTCCTTTTGTGCATGGTCTGGGCCTGTGCCCAATCTCTGGGTAGGAGCATCATGGGGAAGGGGCTCCTTGGCAGAGCACAATCTGGCCCTCACCCTTATGGCTGCATGGCCCTCTGTTATAGCCTTTGAACCAGAAGAGAACATGTGATATACTGACTGAGGAACTAAGGGATAACAACCTACTACTGCGACCAGCTAGTGGAGTTATTTCATTACCCCAAGTGGTAGAAGACTGTGCTTTGGTGCTCAAGGTTCAAATCCTGCTGGTGGCCAGTGTTAGGGGATGTTAGAGCGTCTTTCTTGAGTCTAGTATCAGAGGGATAGCCGGCAATATCAGATATTAGGAATGGCAATATACAAAAACCTGTAGGAGAACACTTCAACCT